GCATCGGGCTCCCTGCTCAGCGGGGAGTCTGCTTCTCCCTCTGACCTTCCCCCCTCTCCTGTACTCTCTCTCTCTCATTCTCTCTCTCAAATAAATAAATAAAATCTTTAAAAAAAGAAAGAAATATTTCCCTATTTTTTTTAAGAGAGAGAGAGCATGAGCAGGGAGGGGCAGAGGGAGAGAGAGAATCTTAAGCAGGCTCCACACCCAGTGTGAGGAGTCCGATTCAAGGGCTTGATCTCACCATCCTGAGATCATGACCTGAGCTGAAATCAAGAGTTGGATGCTTAACCGACTGAGCCACCCAGGTGCCCCCAGACTTTTTCTGTACTTATTTTTTTAACAAAATATGTGGTCATACTTAATCTTGTATATTGCTTGTCTACTGGACATTGTATCATGAACATTTGCCCATGTCCCATGTCCATCTTGTGGCTGTGGCTTAATTTAATCCCTTATTATTGAAAATCATTGTTTCCAATTTTTAATATTAAAAATATAATACTTTGATAAGCATATTTTACATAAATCTTCATGTTCATCTCTGAATATTCCCTTAGGATAATTTTTTTAGAAATGGAGTTACTAGATGCAAAGGTATGAAAATTCTTAAGGCTCTTGAGGCAAGTGTCAAATAGCTTTCAGCACAGTTGTACCAACTTCACTCCCACACATAGTGTGTCAGTGCCTGTTTATTACAGTCTCATCCTAACAGTTTCTTTAAAGCAGTATTGTGTTTAAAAACATGGGCTTCAGAAACAGATAGCCCTATATCCAAATCCTGGCTCTACCATTTATAAATGTGTGACTTTAGGAAAGTTATTTAATTATTCTGATCCTCAGTTTTCTTGTCTGTAAAAATGGACGTACTACCACCTACCCCCAAGGTTATTGTGGGGATTAAAGAAGATAATGTATGGGGTTGAACCATATGAAATTGCCACCATTCAATCACTTTGATCTACAAAAATGTTTTCCATATGGTTCAACCTAATACATAAAGCATGATATCTGGCATATTACATGGTCAGATAAATGGTAGCTATTGAAATTATTATGGAAGCAGGATAAAAGAAATTAATGGCATCCTTACAGAAACCCCTCAAACTTAGAAGAAAATAGGCAGAGAGAAACTCTTAAAGAAAAACCTCTGGCATTTTTAGAAAAGCAGCAGAGGCTTCAAGTGTAAAAAGAGAAAGACCAAAGCTCTAAAGGGAAAAGACCAAAACTACAGGGAAAGAGTTGGGAGACCACCAGCCCTTTCCCAACTGGAAATATCTCTTGTAGTTTACATTCAAATGCCCTTATTTTGTGGAAGAATGGCAAAGTACAAATTTCATGAATTTCAAAAAGGGAAAGAAGGAAACTACAAGCTATATAAATAAGGAAACTATAAACATAAACTATAGACTAAGTTTTTTAAAAAGATTTATTTATTTATTTAACAAAGAGAGAGAGCGTGCAAACGGGGGTGGGGGCAGAGGGAGAGAGAATCCTCAGGCAGACTCCCCAATGAGCATGGGGCCTGATGCGGGCTCGATCCCAGGACCCTGAGATCACGACCTGAGCTGAAATCAAGAGTCGGATGCTTAACTGGCTGAGCCACATAGGTGCCCCATAGAAAAATAAGTTCTGTGTCCATGTTTAACTAGAAAAGAGGGAGAAGAAAGAAATGCTATAAGCCAGTGTTTCTCAAATTTGTTCCCCTAATAAGAATCATCTGCAATGCTGTAAAGTTCTTTTCCAAGCCCACACCCCAGACAAGCTGAATTATTTTGTAGAGGATGAGCCTAGAAACCTATATAGTTAAACAAGTGCCTCAGGTGATGATGATAATCAGACAAGTCTGGGAAACTGCTATACAAACAACCATAGCTTTCAAGGGGGCAATGACAAATTCATAATAAACTGATGGATAAAGAAATATGAAGTGGTTGATGGGTGGTGTAGCAATATTGGTAATGATCATAAAATTAGGAAGAGTCAAAATGTAAGGGATCTGGGTGCCTGGGTGGCTCGGATGGTTAAGCGTCTGCCTTTGGCTCAGGTCATGATCCCAGGGTCCTGGGATCGAGCCCCGCATCAGGCTCCCTGCTCAGTGGGAAGCCTGCTTCTCTCTCTCCTTCTCCTGCTCCCCCTGCTTGTGTTCTCTCACTCTTTCTGTCAAATAAATAAATAAAAATCTTAAAAAAAAATGTAAGGGATCAAGTAAAAGTTTATTAATAACATAACATAATAAAAATTATAAAATTATAAAAAAATAAAGAAGCAAAAATAAAATAAAAGTGTATTAATTACACATTGATTAATTATTAATTACACATTAATTATTTTTTTAAAGATTTTATTTATTTATTTGACAGAGAGATAGACAGCGAGAGAGGGAACACAAGCAGGGGGAGTGAGGAACGTAGAGGCAGGCTTCCCGCCGAGCAGGGAGCCCGATGCGGGACTCGATCCCAGGACCCTGGGACCATGACCTGAGCCGAAGGCAGACGCTTAACGACTGAGCCACCCAGGCGCCCCTACACATTAATTATTAATGCCCACACCTTCTTTGCTACTTCTCCCTGTAGGAGATGGAACTTAATTTCCTCTCACCTTGAGTGTGGACTAGACTTAATGACTTGCTTCTAAGGAACAGTATATGCAAAAGGGAGAATAGTAATTATGTAGTGGAGAAGCCTGGCAGCCAGCAACTTTAACCAAAGGATCATGGCTTTGCTGGAGTGATCCTCATAAACAAGGCTGGAGATGGATCAAAGAAGATCAAGGGCTGCTGGGATTCCATCCACATGGTGGAAGTGCAGGAGAAATCCAGTGGTCGCACCGCCCATTACAAGCTGACCTCCACTGTGATGCTCTGGCTGCAGACCAACAAATCTGGCTCTGGCACCATGAACCTTGGAGGCAGCCTGACCAGACAGATGGAGAAGGATGAGACTGTGAGTGACTGCTCCCCGCACATAGCCAATATCGGGCGCCTGGTAGAGGACATGGAAAATAAAATCAGAAGTACGCTGAATGAGATCTACTTTGGAAAAACAAAGGACATCGTCAATGGGCTGAGGTCTGTGCAGACTTTCGCAGACAAATCAAAGCAAGAAGCTCTTAAGAACGACCTGGTGGAGGCCTTGAAGAGAAAGCAGCAGTGTTAGAGCTCGGCTCCACGCTCCCTGGACACGCCACGCGCTCGTTAGATTCCTTTCTTAGACAACTCATCTTCTGCTCCCTTCCCTCGCCCCTCGCCTCCCCACCAGGTCACGTAACACCGGCTTCACCGGCCGCACGGCGCCATCTCTCCCTGAGAATAAAGCCCAGTAAACACCCTCTGTCTCTGAGGCCTCCTTCCCACCACGTTTTGCTATCAGAACTCTCCATATTTCCACAGAGACCGTGTGTTTTCGTTTGCCCCAGCCCCCGTCTGCCCCCCCCCATTTATAGGCATAAAATACACTGTCTGCCTCCCCTTCCCTCCCACATTTTTGTTACATTGGTGTAAAAAATGTAAAACAAAAACATTTTATGAACTAACTGTGGTGTGTGAAAGAGAGAAGAAAAACTGGAAATCTGATTCCACGTGTGTTTGGGAGTTGCTTGGGGGTTGGGGCTGGGGGGAGAGGGGACAGCTCCGTGAGAAAGGGGGTGGCCCCCCGTGGACGGAACCCTGTCCCACGGAGACCATGTGGTGGGGACGCGGGGGTGGGGCCTGCTGACCATCTGCTCCTCTGGCCAGGTGCTTTTCTGTCAATTTTTATGGAATGCAAAAGGAGCTTTTTGTTTTATTTTGTTTTTTTTTGTAAAGCTTGAAAAAGAAAAACCTACATCTTATACTTGAGCTTCCATACTTAAAAAAAAAAACAAAAAAAAATAAACAGAAACTGGGGGAAAAAAAAATCAGTAATAAGTCACGTTGACATTGTGTGTACCACCTGATGTGATGCCATGAGAAAGATACTTCACTTCTGTGGTATTCTTCCCCAAAATGCATAATACCAGTCTAATGAAAAAAATATCAGACAAACCCAAATTGAGGGACATTCTATAAAATGCTGTCCAGTACTCTTCAATAAGCATGAAGGTCATGAAAGACAAGGAAAGACCAAGAAACTTCCACAGACTGGAGGAGCCTAAAGAAACATAAGGACTAAATGCAACATGGTATCCTTGATTGAATCTTGGAGCAGAAAACAGACATAAGTGAAAAAAACTAGTAAAATTGGGAAAAATGTCTGTAGTTTGGTTAATAGAATTGTATAATGCTAATTTCTTAGTTTTGATAAATATACCGTGATAAGATGTTAACATCAGGGGAAGCCAGGTAAGGGTATACAGGAACTCTCTGCACTATATTTGAAACTCTCCGTAAATCCAAAATCACTTCAAAAAACAATTACTGAAGAAAAAAATGTAATTTCTTAAATTAGGTGGTAGGCACATTTCATGGTTTTAGTCTCCTTTACATCTAGTATATCCATTATATTCATTTATATACATGAATTATTTCATAATTAAAAGACAATAAAGGAAAAAATGTAAGGGATGTAAACTAAGCCATCGGTGAAAGGGATCTATGAAATTTTTAATACTCCAAATTCAATTAAGTTGATTTGAGATAAGATAAGCACAGGATGGATTGTTCCAGTACAAAAGAAGGCTTTGGTTTCAGCAATTATAATGAGCTTCATCTGATAAAAATGATATGTTAACAGAATAAGGGTAGTTTGTAAGACATCAGAGAGTCAACAGTAGAAGCCAAATTCATCAGTATTCACCAGCACTGTCTAGTGGCGAGGAGTTCTAGTATCAAATCCATCCCTACAGAGAAGACGGGTACATGAGGTTATCACAGCTTGATGACACCAGCCATTAAAATTGGCCAGTGTAACAAACAGATGCCACGCGCCTTTTGATGTGATGCAAAGGACACACACCCATCACTCAGGAAGCATCTTGTTCCCTCCTCTCCCTAACAAAAAACTTTTTAAACTGAATCCAATCAAGCATCCTGGTCTAACTGCCAATTTGTAGGATATACAGGGGACAGAATATTGGGGATGCAATCAGCTATACTGTGAGAAAGTCAAAGTGATCTGGTTTCCCCAAGAAAATCCTATAGAGAGAGAGAGAGAGAGAGAGAGAGAGAAAGATGGAATTAAAGATTACAAAGGACTTAAAAGACAGGTGAACCAGAGACTTTAAGATGGTGGTGGAGTAGGAAGACCCTAGGTTCGCCTCATCCCATGAATACAACTAAATAACTATCATATCATCCTAAATACCCCAGAAATCAATCCGAAGACAGGAAGAACAAACTCCACGACTAAAGGCAGAGAAGAGACCATTGAAGAAGGTCGGAAGTGTAGAGACATGGTTTGGGAGAGAAAAGGAGCATGGCTGCAGTGGTATGGAGGGAGTCACAGTCATGGAGAAGAGCAAGAAATAGACTAGCACACAAGCGAGTGCAGGAGAAAATGAATCCCTATAGCAATGGGCTTGGAAAGCAAGAGGGCCTGAATTTTGTGAGTTCTTGCAACCAGTGAGGCTTAAAGCCTGGAGTTTGAAAGGTCAGCATGTTTGGCTCTGGGAGAGCCTGGAGGACAGTGGGCTGCTCTTGGAGAAAAGGCAGGCAGACAGCCCAGGAATAGACAGTGTGGAAACAGTGATCTGAAGAGCCCCTGGGGCACAAATGGGGAGGTTATTTCTTTATCTTGGAGGGCCTCCCAGAGAGACAGCATTCATGGAGAGACCCTTCTGGAAACAAAGGAACTGACAGGCATCATTTCCCTCTCCTGCCCCTTGGCATAAGCACAGGGCCACCTAAGGGAACCAGTGCAGTGCCCGCACTTGCTACCTAACTTGCTTAGTCCCACCCCACCCCACCCCACCCCCCACACTTCAGAAGAACTGCCCTTGCTAGTCATGCTTGACTCAGTCCCAGTGTGGCTGGCCCCCTACCTCAGAAGGCTGGCCCAAACCATGCCCATAGTCTGTTTTCCATCCCAGGAGCTTTGCAGGGCTTTGGTTCTGGTGGAAGTAGCAACAGGTCTCATTTCACAAACAGACCAGAGCACACCTAGTTGAAACTCACCACATTCAGGCCAGGGACCAAACATTGCCCACAACAAACAAAGAGAGCCTCGGCAGATGACTGGCTTAAGGAATAAAACAGCCATCACAAAATAGCAGAGTGTATGCCACACACACTGGACACACTCCTGGAAATGCCAGGCCCTGGGAAACAGGGGAACCCACACTGCAGGCACCACAAGACCTCTTCTTTATAAAGCCATTACATTCAAGAACAGGAGATGTGGCTGACTTTCCTAACACAGATATACAGGCACAGAGACTTACACAAAATGAGAAAGCAGAGGAATTTGTCCCAAACGAAAGAACAGGACAAAGCTACAGCCAGAGATCTAAGCAAAACAGATATAAGTAACATGCTTGACACAGAATTTAAATTTAAAGCAATGATCATAAGGATACTCCCTGGACTTGAGAAAAGAGTGGAGCACATCAGCAAGACCCTTAACATAGAGATAAGGAATAACATAGCAGAGATAGAGTTCAATAAATGAAATGAGAAACACGCCTGATGGAATGAACAGGCTGGAAGAAACAGAGGAAGGAATTCATGACCTAGAAGACAGAGTAATGGAAAGTAATCAAGCTGAACAAAAGAGAGAAAACAGAATTATGCAAAACAAGAATAGACTTAGAGAACTCAGTGACTCCAACAAAAGTAATAACATTCGGATTATAGGAGTCCCAGAAGAAGAAGAGAGAGAAAAGGGGGCAGAGTATTCGTTTGAAGAAATAAGCTGAAACCTTCCCTAATCTGGGGAAGGAAACAGAGAGGCACAGAGATCCAGAAGGCACAGAGAACTCGCATCAAAATCAACAAAAGCAGATCCACACCAAGACATATTATAATTAAAATGGCAAAATAGGGATGCCTTGTGGCTCAGTCAGTTAAGCATCTGCATTCGGCTCAGATCATGATCCCAGGGTCCTGGGATGGAGTCCTGCATCGGGCTCCCTGCTCCGTGGGGGGCTCCCTCTGCCTGCTGCTCCCCCCTGCTTGTGCGCTCTCTCTCTCTGACAAATGAATAAATAAGATCTTTAAAAAAAATGGCAAAATATAGTGATAAAGAAAAAATATTAAAAGCAGCAAGACAAAAGAAAAGACAGCTATATACAAGGGAACTCCATAAGGCTATCAGTGGATTGTTCAGCAGAAATTTTCCAAGACAGAAAGGAGTGGCATAATATATTCAAAGTACTGAATGGGAAAAACCTGCAGCCAAGAATAGTCTATCCAGTGAGGCTATCATTCCATAAGCTAAAGGAGCTCATGAGCACTAAACCAGCCCTGCAAGAAATATTGAAGGGAACTCTTTGAATGGGAAGGAGAGAACAAAACAGACAGTATGAAGGTAGGAAACACAAAAGCAGTAAAAATGAATATTTCTATAAAAAACCAGTCAAGGAACTCACAAAATTAAAGGATATAAACTATGGCACAATATACCTAAAACATGGAGAGGAGAGGAGTAAAGAATAAGTTCAAACTTAAATGATCATCAACTTAATATAGACTGCTATATGCAGAAGATGTTATATACAAACCTAATGGTAACCAGAAATCAAAAACCACTAATAGATATGCAGAGAATAAAGAGAAAGAAATCCAAATATATCACTAAAGACAATCAGAAAACCATGAGAGAGAGAAAGACAAGGATCGGAGAAAATCTTCAGAAAGAACCACAAAACAAGTAACAAAATGGCAATAAATACAGATCCATCAATAATTACTTTGAATGTAAATGGACTAAACGCTCCAATCAAAAGACATGGGGTGACAGAATGGATAAGAAAACAAGTCTCACCTGTATGCTGCCTACAAGAGACTCATTTCAAACCTAAAGGCACCTGCAAATTGAAATTGAGGGGAGGGAGAAACATCTATCATGCAAATGGTTGTCAAAAGAAAGCCACAGTAGCAATACTTACATGGGACAATATAGACATTAAAACAAAGACTGTAACAGGAGACAAAGAAGGACACTATGTAATAATAAAGGGGACAATCCAGCAAGAAGACATAGCAATTGTAAATGTTTATGCACCCAACATAGGAGCACCCAAATACATAAAACAGTAAATAACAAACATAAAGGAACTAATAAATAATAATACGATAATAGTAGGGGACTTTAAAACCCCACTTACATCAATGGACAGATCATCCAAACAGAAAATCAACAAGGAAATAATGTCTTTCTTTTCTTTTTAAAGATTTATTTGTTTGAGAGAAAGAG